TCAGTACTCCCACAGGTACTAGCCTCGTCTGTTAGTACACCCACAGGTACTAGCCTCGTCTGTCAATACATCCACAGGTGCTAGCCTCGTCTGTCAGTACACCCACAGGTACTAGCCTCGCCTGTCAGTACACCCACAGGTACTAGCCTCGTCTGTCGATACACCCACAGGTACTAGCCTCGTCTGTCAATACCCCCACAGGTACTAGCCTCGTCTGTCAATACATCCACAGGTGCTAGCCTCGTCTGTCAGTACACCCACAGGTACTAGCCTGGTCTGTCAGTACACCCACAGGTACTAGCCTCGTCTGTCGATACACCCACAGGTACTAGCCTCGTCTGTCAATCCACCCACAGGTACTAGCCTCGTCTGTCAATACCCCCACAGGTACTAGCCTCGTCTGTCAATACACCCACAGGTAATAGCCTCGTCTGTCAATACACCCACAGGTACTAGCCTCGTCTGTCAATACACCTTTAATATAATCATTATATTATAGGTGTATTGACAAACGAGGCTAGTACCTGTGGTCGATCTTCCCTATAAAAAGAATACTGTTACCTAACTATATGAAGTATAATACTGTATTATGTCCGTTGGTTGTACCATGTTTGAATATGTTTGGTTGTGTTTCCAAATTCATGATGTATGTCTAGTTTAGGTGGATCTGTTGTCATCATTTGCAGTACTGTTTTTCTGAAACTCAGACTGAATGGTGGCTAATCCTCCAGTTAGCATTTTCTCCCATTTCACTGGAATTGGATGAAATTAAAAAAGTTAGATCCGAAAATCTTTAATGGAACACTAATTAACGAGATTGGTCCGGCTCCTGTCGAGAATGTTTTTTTTATGCTTTTAATTTAAGGACAAATATTGTGTTCATGTTGATGTCCACAGTTATCTCTTTTTCTGAAATTCACCAGTACTCTTCTCAACTTTTAAATTCATGATTAAAAGGTTTACACACCTGGCCTTTTCTTTCAACAGTAGTTTAGATTATTTAGATACCCAACCTTTTGGTACCTAGCATCACCAAAGAACCCGAGAAGGGACGAACCAGCTGGGTGATACAGTGTGATTTATTTTTGGCCTTCTGTACGTGTACTCATTACCAAATGTTAGAGGTGCAATCACAGCTGTATTTGTGTTTCGTTAATCTTTTCCACTTTTAAGTCCACCTATTGTTGTCTTTAGTTAGTGTTGCATTCTCGGTCGTATGCAACGCGAGGATGGGCGGTCGGCGGATTACTTATTAACGAAAATGAGAGACTGGGATAGAACTGAAACAGTTTGAAATGATGAGTAAATCTCGTTAGTTATTATCAGTAATATCGATGGGCTGTGTAGTTTTGAGAATTTTACTGATCTTTGCGTTAAAAATACAGGGGCGTGACTGAATCTGGATGAAAAGTCCTTAAATAACACAATGATATATCCATGTCCTTAGACAGCATGCATTCCTATAAGAGAAAAATTTAGAAGAAGCCACGCGTTCCGTAAGAACAGGCGTGCCCTGTACTACAAGTGGCACCCGTCCTTGGACTTAGATGATAGATATTTGAAAAAGATTAATTTCTGATACATGATAAAATAAACAAATTTGTGTATGGAGGAAAATTTTAAAGGATGAACTGTCAGCCATATGTAGACGAGTTGTCTCTCATTCAATGTAAATGACCATTATTGCCGTCATCCGACAGAAGATATTCGTACATCTACACACTATTCACTGTTCACAGTGTTGGTAGTTTGGACGAAATTTCCCACTAATCTTCATAGTTCTTGCGTCAGGTTACGCGGCTTGCTGAGTCGTTAAATAAAACACGTCAACGATTATAATATTGCTACAACTAACTTATGCAACCGAAATTTTCACATGGAATTAGATAAATATCTGTCAATAATTTCTTGATATAGCAATAAACCTATCAGAATGCAGCAGTCTCAATTAATACATGTGAAGAATTTGCCAAACATCGCATCTGAGAGAAAGCTTGAACAAATAACACACCAAGTAAGACTGATCAGAAAAATAACACACCAAGTAAGATTGATCGAACAAATAGCACACCAGGTAAGATTGTTCGAACAAATAGCAGATCAGATGGATCGAACAAATGGCACAAAAGGTAAGATTGATCGAACAAATATCACACCAGGTAAGATTGATGGAACAAATCTGGTAAGATTGATCAAACAAATAGCACTGAAGGTAAGATTGATCGAACAAATAACAAACCAGGTAAGATTGATCAAACAAATAGCACTGAAGGTAATATTGATCGAACAAATAGCACATCAGATAAGATTGATCGAACAAATAGCCCATCAGGTAAGATTGATCAAACAAATAACACACCAGGTAAGATTGATCAAACAAATAGCACTGAAGGTAAGATTGTTCGAACAAATAGCACACCAGGTAAGATTGATCAAACAAATAGCACAAAAGGTAAGATTGATCGAACAAACAACCCACCAGGTAAGATTGATCCAACAAATAGCACAAAAGGTAAGATTGATCGAATAAAAACCACACCAAGTAAGATTGATTGAACAAATAGCACACCAAGTAAGATTGATCGAACGAATAACAACCCAGGTAAGATTGGTCGATCAAATAGCCCACCAGGTAAGATTGATCGAACAAATAGCACACCAGGTAAGATTGATCCAATAAATAGCACAAAAGGTAAGATGGATCCAACAAATAGCACAAAAGGTAAGATTGTTCGAACAAATAGCACACCAGGTAAGATTGATTGAACGAATAACACACCAGGTAAGATTGATCGAACAAATAGCACACTCGTTAAGATTGGTCGAACAAATAGCATACCCGGTAAGATTGGTCGAACAAATAGCCCACCAGGATCGAACAAATAGCACTGAAGGTAAGATTGATCGAACAAATAGCACACTCGTTAAGATTGGTCGAACAAATAGCACACCCGGTAAGATTGGTCGAACAAATAGCCCACCAGGTAAGATTGATCGAACAAATAGCACTGAAGGTAAGATTGATCGAACAAATAGCACAAAAGGTAAGATTGATCGAACAAATAGCACACCAGGTAAGATTGATCCAACAAATAGCACAAACGGTAAGATTAATCGAACAAATAGCACACCAGGTAAGATTGATCCAACAAATAGCACAAAAGGTAAGATTGATCCAACAAATAGCATAAAAGGTAAGATTGTTCGAACAAATAGCACACCAGGTAAGATTGATCAAACAAATAGCCCAAAAGGTAAGATTGATCGAACAAATAACCCACCAGGTAAAATTGATCCAACAAATAGCACAAAAGGTAAGATTGATCCAACAAATAGCATAAAAGGTAAGATTGTTCGAACAAATAGCACACCAGGTAAGATTGATCAAACAAATAGCACAAAAGGTAAGATTGATCGAACAAATAACCCACCAGGTAAAATTGATCCAACAAATAGCACAAAAGGTAAGATTGATCGAACAAATAGCACACCAAGTAAGATTGATCGAAAAAAATAGCACACCAGGTAAGATTGATCGAATAAAAAGCACACCAAGTTAGATTGATTGAACAAATAGCACACCAGGTAAGATTGATCGAACGAATAACAACCCAGGTAAGATTGATCGATCAAATAGCCCACCAGGTAAGATTGATCGAACAAATAACACACCAGGTAAGATTGATCGAACAAATATCACTGAAGGTAAGATTGGTCGAACAAAAAGCCCATCAGGTAAGATTGATTGAACAAATAGCACACCAGGTAAGATTGATCGAACAAATAGCCCACCAGATAAGATTGATCGAACAAATAACACACCAGATAAGATTGATCGAACAAATATCACTGAAGGTAAGATTGGTCGAACAAAAAGACCATCAGGTAAGATTGATTGAACAAATAGCACACCAGATAAGATTGATCGAACAAATAGCACTGAAGGTAAGATTGGTCGAACAAAAAGCCCATCAGGTAAGATTGATTGAACAAATAGCACACCAGGTAAGATTGATCGATAAGATATTGCACAGAAGAAAACAACCAACCAATCTAAATGAAGCATTTCCTCAAACATCAAACCCGCGCAAGAGACTCTGACTTTCGATTTATGTGCCCTAAAAATCCGTATGAGATATGAGCAGTTAATTTATACCGTAACTGCAAAAATAGTATGTTAATAAATATCCTTGGTTTAGGGTTATTTTCTAATATCGCTTACCGATTTACTTGATCGAGATGTGTAGCCGCCATTTTGTGGAATATATAAGCATCCTTAAAACTGACTTATATTGTGACGTTATACCTGTAATGGAGGCCAGAAGGGTGATACAATGGAACTCGACAGACATTTCAACTATATTATTCACTCTGAATCTATGTAACCATCAGAAGTTTGAACTGAAGCTCGTGTATGAAGCAAAACCAAAGGGTGTTTTATTGTTTGCATAATGTCTTACTATTGTTTTCAATCTATTATTGATTTCCTCTTGCCTTTCACAGATACATGTACGATAAGAGAGTTCTTAATTTTAAGTAAGTTCGTGTTTGACAGTTGATAGAACTGTCGTTGATAAAGACATTTAAAATCTAATATACAACATTTTTAAATAACCCTGCTATATAAGGAGCCTCGATCCTATGCTAGACACATGTGTTTTTAGTTGTATTTTTGTGTCGTCATTTCTCATCTAGATGGGTCCTTAAGAACTCAGGTATAAAACACAGGATTTCATATTTTTGTCTATCTGCATTAACAGTTTCAGTATATATTTTATTTGATAATTTGGAATTATAATCTAGAAAATATTAACACACAATTCTACTGATTTCAGAAATATACCATATAAACTCACAAATACAATAGTGTATTCAGGATAGGATGCTTAATCACAGCACATATTCAATGAATTAATCAGACGTTAGTTCACGAATACCAAAGTATATTTCGGTAAACAAGATAGATGTTTTTGAAAGATTTCTTCAGAAAATCAAACGCATGTAATTCCACAAGTTTTATTGCAATGTCGTGGTAAATAAAATGGCGTCGATACCAATAGACAACATATCTCGGCAAAACATGTTGATTCAGAAAAGTAAACGTTTCCTGTACCTCATATTAAACGTTTCCTGTACCTCATATTAAACGTGTCCTGATGTCCCGTGTCAAATCATGGAATGAAAGGTTTCTTGGAGCTGTCCTCAAACAATTAATACGAAGGCAACACACTACATGCATAGTTGAACTAACATTTGCTACAAGAAGTATATTACTGATAAACGGAATAATAAAATAAACATACCTAGCTTGACGTTACTGACTGACGGCTTTTACAAAACAATACATTCAATAAATCATCAATGCTGAAAACAAAATATATAGCAAAAGGTTTTTTTATCTATCATACATATAATGTTCTTATTTTGTTTAAAAATAATTTGTAACATATAGATATTGCGACGGATATCTTTTGTTTTCAGATAAAAATAGCATGTAAATCTTCCAAATTCAACTACATTTTAACTATAACTTTTCAAAGATATAGTTTTAAGTCTGGATCCGAAAACATTTGGTTTACTTGTTTGATTTGAGAATTTATATCTTCACACAACATAGCAGTGTGTTTCCTAGGTGAAGAGTTGGTAGACACCCTTTACGAGAAGTGGACCGTCTTTGTGTAGAAGGAGGGAAGGCCAGACGACATACCTAACTTTATTGCCACTTTTTGTATAAACTTTAAACTTATCATTGGGAGGGTCTCCTTGTTTTAGGTCCCAATACATGTAGACAGGAGGATCATGAACTGCCATATCCCATGTTAGACGGATACCCGCTTCTATGAATAGGTTCAGCTGCTGCATCTTCTGTTTGTCTTCCAATCTTTCGAGGAGAGTTTCCTTCACCTTGTCAACAACAATACAACAATACAACAATCATACTCACTTATATTGATGGCAGCAGCATACTTCGATAAGAAGACATTGGGATCAGTGACATTCTTTCATTTAGCGACAATTTTGAATATTCAAATGTATCTGGAAAACTGGACATTAATGGCAGTAGCATACACTTAATTAAGCCAATAAGACATACTGAGATGGAATATATTATATTTTAAACATGTGCAATCGCGTTCTTGAAGACAGTGACATTTTTGTGCGAATTCAAAATGTTTATCGGAGAAAGAGGAAGGTTATACTATCGAATATTCATTTCAGGCGCAGTCCTGTCGTCGGAACAGTATGGTTCAAATAAATCAAGAAAATGTGAAAATGTTCGATAAAAATATGAATGTCAACAATCTGAATCAAAAACAAAAGAGCTGCTGCCATTTAATATATTTTTGGGCCGTAAGCGTTTTTAGCATAACGATCCCTTAATGCCAGATGTTTATGTAAAACTATCCCTATTAATTGCTGCTCCTTGCTGTCAAGGCAAAATTTTAATATACGTATTCCTATTAATTACTGCTCCTTGCTGTCCGTTTAATGACTGATCCTTGCTGTCAAGGCCATATGTTAATATACATATTCCTTTGAATGACTGTTCCTTGTCGGCAAGAACAGATGTTTACGTATATCTATCCCTATTAATTACTGCTCATTGCTGTCAAGGCCATATGTTTACGTGTTACTATCCCTTTCAACGACTGTTCATTGTCGGCAAGAACAGATGTTTATGAATATCTATCCCTATTAATTTCTGCTCCTTGCTGTCCTTTTAATGACTGATCCTTGCTGTCAAGGCCATATGTTTACGTGTTACTATCCCTTTCAACGACTGTTCATTGTCGGCAAGAACAGATGTTTACGTATATCTATCCCTATTAATTACTGCTCCTTGCTGTCAAGGCCATATGTTAATATACATATTCCTTTTAATGACTGTTCCTTGGTGTCAAGGCCAGATTTTAATATACATATTCCTTTTAATGACTGCTCCTTGCTGTCAAAAGCCAGATGTTTTATTATAACTATCCCTTTTAATGACTGCTCCCTTCTGTTCTGAAATATTCCAGGATAAAATAGGTCAAATGTATGTCATACAGTTATTTCTCATGAAGCACAGACTTTTGTTTTCATTCGATCTTTTTATCATGGCTGTGTAACACAATACAATAAACCCTTTTTTACAGTACTGAAAAAGCGGATTGCACATCGTTGAGCTTCGTCTGCGCACCGTTTGGTCGTTCGCATCGATTCATTTGCATATATCACATCGCAATTGAATCGTTTTGATTTTATGTCGCATGGGCGATTAATTTGACTTAAATAGGAACGTAAACGAAAAATAATGTGTTTTTTAAATAACAAATATCTAAATAGCTATTTGATTGGTTTCAGGTCAAAAAAACACTCGCTGGGCTGATACATGTCCTTTGAAGATTACAGAGGATGGACACATGACTTCAAAACCGGTCAATTTTACCGTTACGCTCAGACTTTATTCGTTTGATGAACATCAAATTATCGAACCATCCTTCTCTCATCCACAATGTGGTGCACACTGATCCTCCAAGTTTGCTATGACATATATGCGATTAAGTTCTCCACACCCTTGTAGTATAGAGGATGTTGGCCAGTGCAATCACTGTACACACGTGTCTCACGTGGTTATGATCAAAATATAGTCTCAGTTATCATGGTAACTAGTATAGCAAACTTATACAATATTTTTTCTTAGGAAAGTAAAAGGATCAGGGGTATCGAATATTCCGTGAGTTGGAGTAGTGATATAAAATGGTACTGGACTTTTTCGTTCGTGTTGATGACAATTCATTACATAATTCCTAAATATCTATCGAACACAGCGTGACGTCAAACACATTGTCAATCATCGATTGCAATGTTTGCGCATCATCTGTGCATCGTTTCTAATTGTTTGTGCCACAGGCTATCACATGGTCTACCATACCTTTTCAGTGATTTTATCTGACGCTTTGGTAGCTGCCATCTTTCTGAGGTTTTTCAAATCCTTGAATTCGGTTTGTCGAAAACCAATCTCTTTCAGAGTCTGTCAGTAAAATGAAGATTTGATCTATATCACCTATATTTTAGGCACAATAAAAAGATGAACAAGAGCCCATAGGGACTGACTCGCTCAAACGTAATTAGCTTTGTCCTAACAAGATAGGATTTTAAATATATATCCGATATTTGAAACAATAATAGCATTTAGGGAGTTTAATTGAATCAAACAACGATACTTATAACACTTCGATTTCATTTCAACCCAAACAATACCATATGAAGGATGATTCAATAGCCAAATAGATTGGTTTGATAAAAATGTGAAGATGGACGCAAGAGGTCATAACATTAACCGTCTTCATCCAGGGATGCTTCATACCAAATAAGGTTAAAACCCTTATAATGTATTAAAGACGGGTTTTTAAGGCATCACCCCTTTTCTGTATTGAACCCTAACACTCTGCCTTCAAATCAAGGCATTATTGACACTAAGTTATATTAAAAATCATTTATATATGAACCTCATAAATTTCAACAGAAATCATTAGATTTACATTCAGTGCTAATTTGCTAATTTCATAAATATCGGAGTTGTGCAAGTCTAATACCATTCATTGTGTTACGTCATTCTGGTAAGATAAATAACTGTTGTAAATTGATTTTAACGTTAATAACAGAACACACAGAAACAATCTTCAAGAGGGGATATAACAGTCTAAAAATTGGAAAATTTAATAAGTATATTGAATCAAATTTCAGTAGAAAAGTAAACGTAAATATATATATATAAATCTTACTTCATCTGCTGTATCCGTTCTTGTCTGTGTAAGAATCCTTGCCAGGGACCTCCATTGTTCCTCGGCAAGTCGGACACATTCATTATAACAATCCTTGCATGTAACAGTGAAAAATAAAAAAAACATTGTCAATCCATGAATCAAGTCAAAGTCTCGTTCTTAATGCGATAACTTCGTAATTAAATATCTATAAATGTATTTTTGCATGCCAAGTCCAATTCTCCTATCAAAATCGAAGTCGATAAATATACTTATTTGTATTATTCCTATTTGAGATGCAACTCCACCGAGGGACCTCAATAATTTTTTATACACACATGAACCCGGATTTTATTTGCTCACAAAAATGTGCTAAACAGAATAATATTTTAAAGACTTTATGTTCCCAGTCAAGAAATACATTTTCCTCCAATTTTATTTACGTGTGTTTGTATTTCTTACCGTCACGATATCTCGTAGTATAATTATAGCATCTTTTCGTTTGATCCCCCTGTCTCCTGTCAGTATCTCATACGCGTCTGTCCACTCATTGTCGTTAAGCTCTGTATATCGTTCCGCGAGTTTCAATGGTCTGTTTGGATCATTGAGGTCTGTAAAGCTAGGATTTCCTTCTGTTAGTTTCGCACCAGCCATCTTGCTCAGCCTGCATGGTAAGGTTTAGGGTTAGGTTACAATGCAAAATACACAACAGCAAATCCGTTCAGTGAGTATTTGGGAAAGACATCATGTATGATAACAATGGGTGTTTTTGTTTGAGTTTTCATTGTGAGAATTTTATATTCATTACAAGCTATTCAGTCCGTAATTTTTAAGCTGTAATTGAAGTCGATAGCGTGTAAGCAATGCATACCATACCTTTGACGTAACATGTCCATTTCTTTCTCCATACTTTTCAAATTTTGTTCTCCCCTTAAAAAATAAAACAACGGACAGAAAATTAGTGCAGTCAATGGCAGATTATCATATTCTGCTGTTTACAAAAGTTGAATTTCACATTTACCAGAATACCAGAGCCTATGGAGTGTTCATCTCGATATTTATTGAATGAAAGAAACAATACATCTTTGTACGCACCTTTGTTCTAAACTTTTCTTTTCCTTTTTAAGCTTTTCAACTTTTTCGGCTTCTCTGCGAAACAACGAAGAGCAACGTTTATTGTCTTCGTAAACTATATACACGAGACTTAAACTATATACATGAGGCAAATGCAATAAAAATTACCAGAATATTTATCGAGCCAATGGTGAGTCCATCCTGATATTTGTTTAAATGAAACAAAATAATACTTCCCTTTGACCTAAAATGTATACTATAATACTGAATGTATGTGCGGTAACATTCAGCATGTTTTTTTTTATGTTTTCATTATGAGATAATTCATAAAACTATTTTGATAGATTGTAATATACATTAAAGGTCATTCAAATCGTAATTATTTTTAAGTTGTAATTGAAGCTGATATTGTGCAAGCAATGAATACCTTTCACGTAACTTGTCCATTTCTTTTGCCTTTGTTTTCAATCTTTGTTCTTGCCTAGAAAAAAAACGGACATAAAACTATGGTTAATGCAATCAATGGCAGATCATCACATTGTACATTTTTAAAGATGTATGATAATGGCAATCAGGTTTAGGATATAATCTCAAATGAACATCAGTTTACAAAAGTTAATTCTAAAATTTACCAGCATATTATGGAGCCTTTGGAGAGTTCATATCAGTTTTTGTTGAATGAAAAAAAAAAAAAAAAACCCATCTTAGTACATACGTTTGATCTAACTCTTTCATTTCCTTTTCCAGCTTTTCAACTTTTTCAGTTTTCCTGCGAGACAACAAAGAGCACAGTTTAATGTTTTTTTCAACTAAATACATGAGAAACGCATAAAATATTATTCAATAAAGCCAAAATCAATATGTAGCATTCTCTCACATTTCCAGCAAGTAATATATACCATGAATTTCACTAAGTTAAAATCAATTTCAAACCACAAACGCACATATTTATTAAATGATTTAATCTTCTTTCGAGATTGATTTCTTTTGTCAATATTAATATATTTTAGATTTTCTTCGTATTTCCTTAGTATTAGACAACAGCACTTTTTCTATCAAAAATCCTGGTTCTAATATTATTATATTTGTATTTCCCTACTTTTCCAGAACAGTTTTGAACATTTTAAATCCACGCTTTTCTTCCTCAGACAAGACCTCTGGAATATCAATTGTTGGTTGGTGCTGCTTTTGAATGTCTTCCTGTAGACCTTTGTACCAGGACGTCCGCTCAGCATGAACTTGTTCAAATCTAATAGATGAAAAATATCATACCCACGAGGCAATATTTATTGAAAAATGTAATTTAACTTTATATTAATATAAGCGACATGTTTTGATGGACGTTTTCAGCGAAAATGTTGATTAAAGAGTAAAAAGAGTAAAGATTAAAGAGTGCTAAATGTCTGGCAAAACTTAAACTCTCAAGGGAGTTAAGTTGTTACATATTATGAATCTACTCTCCACTTAGGACGTAGCTAATTAATGTTATATAGATTTATTCCTATATTTAAATGGGTAGAAATAATAGATTAAGGTGGATTATATTAACAAAGAATGTGATGTTATATAAATATTAAGAGACACATCATTACGAGTAAAGCTTGCCATATTCATGTCTCCTTCAGTTGTTTACTTACTTGTTTAATTCGCTCTGTGTCTTCTCTACTCTGTAATAAAAGGGTACAGGGTCTCCATTATACAACGGTATATATGCAGAAAACTAAGATTATGCGTTCAGATACTGTTCTTAATTATCAATTTATTGAAAAAGAACTGTTTTATGTGCTATATTATTTAAAACATAGGTACTTAGATTCAATAAGTAGCTGCGCATTATTCCAACGTTTTACAGTTAATGTTGATGCAGTCGCTAGAAATAGGATGTGCATGTCTAACTAGTTTTAGCATGAAATCTGGTGTGTTTTTTGTGAACCCTCGTGCCTTCTATATAATAAACTATTTTCATTTCGAATTTGTTTTTGCATTCATAATAAATTCTTAAGTATTATTTATGATAATTGTAGTATTTTGTCAGTAACATATGTAATATACACCAAATAGGTAATAAACATACTCTTCTCTCAATTTTGTCATTTCTCCACGCTTCTGATCAAGATAACAAAGTAAGGTTTTAATTCTTGTCGTTTTAGCAGCTGCTTCGTTATTTTTTTGGGCTGATTTCTCACTCTTTCTGTGTTTCTTCTCTGTATCCCCTGTGAATTGGGCTGGCATTTCCACACTTTTTTCTATCTTGTCAAGCATTTCCGAAAATACTCTGGATAATATCAAATATTTTTAAACATAAGTTACAATACTTACATAGGTGTGTTTATTAGAAAAACATTTTCCTTGAGTTTGGAGTTAATGTTGCGAAAATCTTAATCTTAAACTGTGATTTTTTTTATATATATATTTCACATTGATATTGTTACATGTACCAAACAGAAAAAAATCGGTCTTAAATCATCAAAGATTGTTTTTTGTTCTTAATCATACACCATTTGTATCATCAAGGAAAGAATCGTAGGAATTTTTCCTGTCTTCTGCTAAAACGACATTGAACAGATCAAAATAGATCTGCAGCAACTCCTTTTGAAACATTTGGTATATCTCTATTTCTGTTACCTATTCTATTTTTTCTGTCTCCCTATAAACTCGACTTCTTATGACCCTGAGAACGATAAATCATGGTTTTAGAAATCAAACGCAATACATATACATAAACTGTCTTACCTTTGCGATTCCTGTATTAATAGAATGCTGTCATCTGTTTGGCTGCCCTTCTGTTCACATATCAGGAAGTGTATCTTTTGGACTTCTGCGAGCAGATCTGTGTTGTTTTGAGTGTTGCTGGTGAGGAAAGTAAGCTTACAGTGAAATGTATATTGATAGGTATAAAATCTAATTGTTCTGTTGTATTAAAATCTCAAAAACTATAATTCTATTATTGCAATCAACTTCATAATTTTATTCATTTGGAACATACATGTACAAAGCTTTTACTGGAGAAATTTCAGATTTTTAAGTACAAGTTATATAAAAATATACCATTGTTCAGATCGTGTCGTTCCATTATTTGAGGCTGGAATTTCATGTTGCGCATCAGTGCTTTGAGCAATACCGTTGCCACTTCCCAAATCTTCATTTTTCTGCTCGGTATTACTTTCAGTTTTATCCGGATTCGAAGTGGAACTTTGACTAGGGGGTATAATAGAAATAAACATATCAGTTCCTGGCTATTTTCTTCTGTCAAATAAATTAATATCAATTATCATAGATTATACACCGAACTTGAGAGTAAACTAAAATGTCATACCGTACTTTTGGATATGTTTTGATGTGGTATTTGGTTTATTTGGCGCTTGGAGTGAATGAGCCAAAACCATTATTGAACACACCAAAATTTCACGATACCAAATTATTTAGTTGTAGCATTCGGATATTAGCAGACCTTCTTCTTACTAATTTTGTATGCATCTATCACCAACCTTGTGGGCTATATTTTTTATCTAAGCGAAATATTTGCTTATTTTTCTGACAGGAATAACGCACTTCATAAATAACACGTTGAAAGATGTATGGTTTCCTCTGAAGGTGTCGTACCTTTCCAAAGTTTTTATAACACCTGCAGGATTGTCAAACGGCAAAGTTTAGCGACACCATAATATCCTCAACTACGGTCCTGCAGAAATAACTATCGAGAACAACTAGAAATCGCCATTAACCAACACAGATATACTATACTCAGTAACGGTATCAAAGATCAACAGATGTGCGCTTGGAAATTATGTATTCATACACTGTATATCAATTGACTTATTTGTCCAGATCGATTTGTTCTTTTACAATTTATACATATGAAATTTCATGTTCAATATAAACACTTACCCATTGTCTTTGTTGTCTAGATCTTTGGCTAGAGGTTCTTCATGTTTCTGCTTTTCTTGAGAACTCATGTCTGCAGAAATGTGCGTCTAGTTCTGTTTAATTACTAAGAGGATATCAATATAGGGTCTTCATATCAATGTAAGATGAACCAAAAACACAAACATGCGACAGCACCTGTACTATTTGGTTATAGACACGGCATGCCAAAAATTAACTACACTGCACCATACAGCTGTTTCGTCCATGTAGGACCCATCGGTGATGCTAGGGGCAGACAAGTTGGAAATTATAATCGGTCTAAACTACTGTTGTTATAGAAGGGGAGGTGCGCGAAACTATAATTATAGGAATTTCAAAAATTAAAGACGTAATTAATAATTTCAAATTGATAACTAGTAAAGTTATTGTTTTTTGTTATATTTTTGTTTGTTTGTTTTTGTTTTGCCCCTTAACAATATTGTAAGACATGCCATTTAAAATTGAAACTAAAATCCGGTAAAAGGTAAGCTCTTTCCTTTTCCTAAATATCATGTTCCCGGTTAATATCAATGAGCTTACCTAAATATCATATTCCCGGTTAATATCAATGAGCTTACCTAAATATCATGTTCCCGGTTAATATCAATGAGCTTACCAAAAAGTCTAGAACCTACACATTTTGTGAAGTCTTGAATTAACGTACATGTGTAAAATTTTCATGTTTTAATCTATGCAAATGTAAGTTTATTAAAGAACTTTAAAGTTAAAAAGTATATCTTCATTTACATATTGTGCATGCATTAAGGTTGTCGGGTAACAACAACACAATACAGACAGAAGCAGTCTCTTGAACGGACTTGTTTGATAAACTGATTTAATATTACTTCCTGGGCATTACTAATATTACTAATGGGCAGATTATGCAATTAACTATAACAAAATATGAACTAGGTTATCAAATAAAGACTATGTATGTAACTATCGTTATGTCTCATCTGAAACACTCGTGTTTAACTCATACGCACATTACGTACAAAATCCAATCAGTTACCTTTAGTAATATCTGTAAACAGTCCACAACCGGTTAAACAGCCCATCCACCTATACCGGGTAGTCTGGATATGTTTATAATGGTGAATTCCTTGTAAGTCGTATATTGATATACAGAACAGCTAGCGCTATATTTAGACTCGGTTCTGAGAAAAGTTATATCGTATGAATCTCTATCGTAAAACAGGTAATTACAGGTGTTTTGTGAATGTGTATATACTCTTAGCTGGTGTTGCCTTGCCTGATCGAAGGTCGTAGTAAACATTTTGTGCACATTTAATTATACAGGTACGTTGACAAAGATAAACCGCACAATGACGAGTGTGTACTAGGACAGGTTTTAGAGTATCAACATATACCAAGTAATTTTTATCAATATTTAGATAACAAATTCCTCAGTATCGTGGCTTGTACCTGTTTAAATAATGTTTTCTTTAGATAGAAGTAAGACGCCTGAGCATATTAACGATTCCTGTCCCCCAGCACTCTGTTTTTTTCGTATATGCAGTAATTGTCCCTTTATTTCGTTTTAGATGTAGCTGTAGCATAGATTGACCACGACACTTCCATTGTCCATTTTCTTACCGATTTATTGCTGCAGTGTCCGAGAAGATCACTGATGACGGTGGATTATGGAATTTAACTCCGTTTTTATGGATGCGTTGTCGTGTGTGATAGCGAGTATATCTTTAAAATTTTCGATTTGGTGTGTCTAATTATAATTTTATTTTGGTTTAATTTTGCCACCGTTATTCCCGATAGGAGCTTCATAGCCACGGCTAAGACTGTGTATCATGATCGTCCATGGTCCTGCATTATGGTGGTTGTATTTATCATTAAGAACGATACTGATCTCGTTCACAAATGATCCAATTAAACAGTATACATTGTAATGTGTTGTCTTTTTCAACTGGCCGTTATTTAATAATAGGTCATAGGAAATAGGTTGATCTTGACCACCAGTGGTTCCGTATGTAGTGACTGATCCGGTCAGTTCTAATTCAGATCTTGACCACTAGTGGTTCCGTATGTATTGGCTGTTCCGGTCAGTTCTAATTCAAATCTTGACCATTAGTGGTTCCGTTTTTACTGACTGTTCCGGTCAGTTTGAACTCACTTTTTACCACTAGTGGTCTGATGTGGTTTTCATGCCTAGTTCTACAATTAGTCAAGATGACCATTCTGTGTTATAACATCAGTATCAATGATCCTTGTACCACTGCCTAAAACTGCCAATACGAGATGGTTGGATTGCGCTGCGGTTAGCGCACTGGATTTTCATCACGATAATCGGGTTTCTAATTGATCGGATATGAAATGGTATTGGGTCACTAGACCCAGTCCGTTTTCTCCGTATGTCAATCCTGCGCAACGAACGGAGCGTAATATAAATCACACTTCTATTTTCGATTAGATTTTAACCAGGCAAAACTTATATGTATGCTGTTTAACCTTCAGGAATGCCTCGAGTACTATTTGGGTAGTTTAACAATCTGTTTGATTTATTTTTTTTGAAAAATAAAAGTATCGATTTACGATATATTTCGAGAAATATATCTGTTAAAAAAGTGATAATAATTGTGGGAGAACGAACGCAGAATAGCAACTTTTAAAGTGCAAATGTTACCGTCATATATTGTTTGCAAGCTATGGCTGATCTACAAGAAAATATAACTGCATTTTATTATTGTTTTATTGATTCACCGTACGTATTAGGTAGTTAAACGGCCGCATATGTAAACAAAAGCCGTATGTAGTGTTACACGTATGTTTGTTCTATGGTACTTCCTGGTTCATAAAAAGGCCGCCTGCACTGTTACTCGTAGATACAAACAGATACATTAATAAAAAAAAATAATAACAAAGCAAGTTCACTTCCTCTACCGATCTCACATCTGTAATTGTACGTTATGTTGTAATATTCATTCCAATGTCAATGACCGAGTATTACATTCATTTAGGATTCAGTTATTTATTTATTGTTTATTTATTTACACTGTGTTCTTTATGTTTACAAGACTCAATATTGATATCGAAACCATATCTTTCTTTATTATTTTTTTCATTTCCGAAACATTATCAACAAAATAAAAGACCATGTATTTAAATTTTTACAAATTACAGTTTGTCAGGTCCTACTTTGTTTTCTCATAACTGAACATATTTTATAATTGATCCTACGGTAATATCATATCACAGTCAAATAAAATAAAGTGATATAAGCTGGTTAACAAACCCTATAAAATATCTCCCTTGGTCATTCCATAATGAATAAATCGAACATTCAACCATAAGAAAGAATATCTCCATGTCACAAAGATACATGTGACATAAGGGTACACAGTGCCAAACATTCTGACACTGAACGAGTTCGTTATATGAACCTTTTTCAGAGTGACATTTTTTAACGGTTACGAATATATCCTTCAAATACACAAGAGGAAAACACGATGTAGAAGAAAGAAAGGATATCGATTGATCGTTCGTTCATTTAATATCCATAATTATGTATTATAATTGATATGTGAAGTTATACGCAGTCATATAAATGTTTCCATGGTCGGCAGTAAACCATATCGTATAACACTTGGCATGATCATGGTCTGCAGTAAACCATATAGTATAACACTTGGCATGATCATGGCAGTAAACCATGTCGTATAACACTTGGCATGATCATGGCAGTAAACCATAACGTATAACACTTGGCATGATCATGGCAGTAAACCATGTCGTATAACACTTGGCATGATCACGGCAGTAAACCATATCGTATAAGACTTGGCATGATCATGGTCGGCAGTAACCCATATCGTATAACACTTGGCATGATCATGGCAGTAAACCATGTCGTATAACACTTGGCATGATCATGGTCGGAAGTAAACCATATCGTATAACACTTGGAATGATCATGGTCGGCAGTAAACCATAGCGTATAACACATGGCATGATCATGGTCGGCAGTAACCCATATAGTATAACACTTGGCATGATCATGGCAGTAAACCATGTCGTATAACACTTGGCATGATCATGGCAGTAAACCATATCGTATAACTCTTGGCATGATCATGGTCGGCAGAAAACCATATCGTATAACACTTGGCATTATCATGGTCGGCAGTAAACCATATCGTGTCACACTTGGCATGATCATGGTCGGAAGTAAACCATATCGTATAACACTTGGCATGATCATGGTCGGCAGTAAACTATATCGTATAACACTTGGCATGATCATTAAAAGAAAATGACAACATACTTCCAAATTTGAATAATTTTATTCCCAAATTGTCGCGCTTCAATATACCGTACTTAATTTGTGTTTCTTTTATTTTTGTTATATTGTAATTGAACTCCTTAAATCGATCAAAGTTATCGCATTGAAATCAAATAAGAAAATATTTGTTATTGACAACTGCAAGAAATATCGTATAACATTCGATTGACCTCGAATGTTATCATTACAGTTGAAACATGTGTTTTTGCACAACATCAGTGCATGGGGTTTAGGCAACAGTAGTTTCAACTTCAGGTCTACTAGTTTATATTTATTTAAAATCTGTTTACATAATATATGATCACTAAACATTAGAAAGATATGCTTGGTATGGACTTTGGGAATGTCTGGTAAGCATACCACATCCTTGTCTGTATAACAAAAGATGCATTCCAAAACAGACTGGTAAGTCATTCTTGTAAATGCTGACGTGGTAGTCGTATTTGTACCATATATATACGACTTTTTCGATTTTGTTTTTCCCCCCCAAAGAATGAACACTGTAAAATGTAATAAAAATAGTAAAAACATCAGCTGGATATTTCGTTCCGAATTTCAAAAATTGAGAAATAATTAGAATGATTTAAATCAATTAAAATTAATTACAAGAAGTCATTTCAAAGCTATATCAATTAACTTCAACCTGAATCGAATTTTCATCAACCTTTCAAACGGTTACTATCAACATGACAAAATAGAAATGAAACTATGTACTAAGTATTTGTGAAATAGGCACACATATTACGAGTATATAAATATGTATATATAAATCATAGGTACAATTTAAGGACCAGAATACACCAGTGTATTATGTGTTTTGTTCTGAGGATTCAAGTAATCGGACACATTCTACTCTGCCAGCAGAGAAAGGGAATACCCATTAATTTAAATTATCTTCAAAACAAAACAAAACTGATACTGATGGTTTGGTTTTATATTTCATTATAATATCCAGTCATTTATGTAGTATGTTTTAACTTAATGATAAACAATCATGTTCAATTGAGATCAGACTTTCTTTTCTATACAAGGATTTTTATCCCATGATACATTAGTGTATCCAGACCAATCGTATTACAGAAGGATACGTTATGTTATATGAGATATTATTCTGTTGATCTTTAGGACAACCGATGTGTCCTAAACGGACACAGTGGACACACTGTGTAGTAAATGTTTACTTAGTTTGGCTTGCTTATTGTTTCCTTGGTCATTTTTAAATAGTTGCTCACTTATTTGTATAATTGTAGTGATTTTTAAGACATGTATGCTAAGATGATAGCAATCCATAATATATGAAGATATGTATGTATGTTTGCGGAAAGAAATATATAAATGAAACTTTAGTTCACAGGACAAGTGGGTTTTAATAAAAAGAAGTTCATCAGGGAGGGTGATGGTGGATGCCATGCTCAAGGCTGTAAAGAGAAAGGTAGGTATTGATGTAAGCTCTTATTCCTCAACAACTTAGAAATTAAGAAACGGTGTAAAAAGTGTAACATGGTATTTATACCGATAATATCGTACACTAGACTACTAGTATTACGATGTTTTAAGACCATTACGTCCAGTAACAGTGACAATAAATTAGTGACGTGCTAACTAGCATGAGTCGCGTGAGAAAGGCTGTAGGGATGTCACCCCATTCCGGGAAGACATACTGTATGATATAAAGACACAAATAGACGTGTCTGTAGTGTTTGTATGAAAGCCGTTTCGAGTCTTGGTTAACTAGACGTGTCTGTAGTGTTTGTATGATAGCCGTCTCGAGTCTTGGTTAAATAGTCGTGTCTGTAGTGTTTGTATGATAGCCGTCTCGAGCCTAGGGTGAAGTATTGTATGACAGCGACACCTAGTCCAGAAAGATAGGCTGTATGATGCCTTTAGAAAGGAGTGGTCCGTCCTTGTATAGAAGCATGGCAGGCCAGACGATGAAGTCATACCGTCGCCCATTCAGTGTGAAGTTATCGTACATGTCCCTGTCCACGAAGTCGGCGTATTTGATGTCCCAGTGAAGGTGCATAGGCGGATCCTGAAGCACCAGGAACCAGCACAGTTCCACGAGTTTTCGAATGTAAGGATTGAACTTGTCGTCTCTGGCCTCCTTCTGGTATTCAGAAGACATCCCTTTCTCCCGGAAATGCTGTGTTAAAACATTAATATAGCATCAGAACACTTTTAGAAACAATCCTTAATTATACACACAAAAGCCATTAAACTGAAATCAAAATAAACTTAAATTCTGTAAATATTTAAATCATGAAGAAACTTAATGTTCAATTCATTATGACAACAGAAGCTTATTATGTTCACTTAACTATGTATCATTCAGAAAACGAGGGCGATACACTAGAATGATTGTTTAGAAATCTTTTTTTTCCAAAACTAGATTCTATATACTTTACGTGAAATTAAACAGATAAGTAATATAACAATTTGATCATCTTACATCTTCGATGATATCCGTGGATCCAATATAATTCTTGCGCAAATTCAGGAGATATTTAGTATCCTGCTCTGTAAAATCTCTTTCCTGCAAAAAGCGATGTTTTAAAAGTTAAGTATTTGGGTATGGTATTAATATGTACTATGTACCAAGAATAATATTTAGTGCTTTTTTTTTAAAAAGAAATTTAAGGTAATTACCATAATTGGTCTAGTAAGTGACTTTCAAAATCTATTATACTAAACTCTGTATTGCATCAATAAATATATATACGGATGATTAAAACCATTATTATAGAGTCCGTCAACGTTGAGTCGAAGGGACTAACTGAATCATGAAAATATACAACAAAACCCTTCTATCTACTTGGACACAAACAACATCTACAAGACAGTGTGTTAAACCCATCACCGATTTCAACCACCTGGGGATAAATTAAAACTGAAATTCGTGACATTGTTATACAATGAATAGAAAGGAAAAAAAGAAGTCAAGTTATAAACATCGAAACGTGTAGACTTAATCTTCATTTTAACAAACTCAAGTTTGCAGAAGATATGACTTTCTAAGTTATCATAACACTCCTTACAGTATCATAGGCACACACAATGATGTCATACGTCTTCAGCTTCACCGTTTGTCTTCTTTAGCTTTTCTCGTAGGGAAATCTTTTCAAGAACTTACACGTTTGTTTATTGGTTCATATCAAAACTTAAAATTCTCAAAATTGTTCAAAAGCATAAACTATAATGAAACTACTTCAAAGTATTTGCATTGTATAAGGAGAACAATCTGTAAATGCTTAACAGATAGCTGAAGACAATACTACTGATTGAATTGTGTGTGCTATGCTACTTTAACTTTACGTCACAATCATTAATGTTGTAGATTGAACAATTCTCGACAAATACGATAAAACTTTTGTGATATCAAAAAACAGAACAGTAGATTGCAACATCATGTGTACAACTTCACTGAATCACACCAATTCACCATACTGTCCTCTTTAATCCAAGACACTAACGTTTACACAAGTAGCTAAATAATATACTACCTCTTGTCCATCGCTCTGTATGGTGGATTTACAATTCAGGATGAATCATTAATGCTATATAAAGCTAAATTTGAAATGGTTTGAAATACAAGTGTAAAAGTATTTGTCTCGACTTCATATCTATTAAAACAAACATTTGCATAAAACTCATTTCAGGTTTGAAGAATCAACGAAAGTTTGAATTGTGTTTGATTGTTATAAATAAACAAATACATATTGAAATTGGTTCTTCTAATCAGTTGAAATGTTTCTCCTCTACATTTGCACCCCTTTGTCCTGTACAGTAATGCGCTCAAGTATGAATTTGTCTTCATCAAATTAGTGAATTGCATCTCTCAATACTAATCTTTAAGAGTCCAATAAACAATATCGATGAGACATTATGTTTCCAACATGATTAATCAAAACTTTGGAAATCTGTATTTAAATAGCAAAACATCAACAAGGTCTGAATTTATACAGTTTCCTTAAATTCATTTAACGTTATTAGTTTGTGTGATATTTACATTTGACTTTTGAAATTGAATAAAATGGAGCACCAAAAGTATACGTCATATATAACTTACGATCTTCGCCTCCCACAATAGCGCTATCTTGATCTGTTCCCATTGGTCGTCAGCCTCCTTCTTGCAATATTCGAAGCAATCCTAAAATTAAAAGAATACCACTACACATGAATGGAATAAACTGTATTGAATACCAATGCCTTGACACGCGTGTATTCAACACCAGAACCCTGACACTCATTAATGGTATTAATGCGTTGATGAATACCGATGCTTAACCACAGAAATGTCTACATATACCAACGCGTTAATACAAAGCACCAAGAAAACTAAAACTAACCAGGGGAGAAACCAGTTGCTTCAGAAATATGCACTCTACCACATGTGGCACATTTATTAGTATTTGACACCAGTACCCTAACACTCATCTATAGGATGTAAGACGTCATGCTTCTTGCGTTGATGAATACCGATGCTTAAGTACAGCTATATGTTTATATAACAAAGCGTCAACAGACAAATACAAATCATCATGAGCAACGGAAACCAACAAGTGGCGAAAAGAGTTGTTTTAAAAAATGTTTTCTCTACCACATGTTGCACCAAACATAATTTCCCCAGACAAATCGGGGAAAACATGTGGACCATCAACGAGTTAAAACACTGTGATCAAGTCATTAAGGATCCCTGTTCCACTGCACTGTGTTTTATTGTTACAAAAACCACTCCTTGATTTCGTTTTGGATCTTACTGTTGCACAGTTCGGCTAGGAAGTGCGTTGATCAGGAAGCTCATTCGGTTAGAGCAAGGGGTTTGGGGTTCGAAACCTGGTTTAGCCCCGTTGTCGATTAAATTTGTTTGATTGTATCTTTGTTATTTCATAAATCAATCCCTAAAGGTATGGTCTTCCTCTCAGCAAGTATTTATCGGAGCTATAAACATGATGAGAAATACTTTCTAATACATATTTACAGTCTTTTTGCAGTGGTATTAGGATCCTTAATTATCGTAGACACTAACAAATAATAGTTCTCAAAATTAATGTTTCAGAGAGCAAAGCATAATCAATATGTCTATAATGAAACTTAAGCATAGATGAATTATTAAGCATTAAATCATATCGCTAGAATCGGTGCACAGAGAATGCCGATAGTCTGGTAAAATATAGGTCCATCAAATTCAACAAAATTCAAAGTAAAGAGGCTTGTAAAGACAGTTACCTCCTGATTCAATGCCTATAACAGAATTAAAGCCATTTTGTATGGGTCATACCGGTACACCATCAATATATACCTTGAGCATTTGTAAAAGTGTGTCTATTCCCTCCCTTGGCGGCTTTCCCAGGTAGTTCTTCTCCAAATCATACGCGTCATACCACTCAAATTCGTACGCGTCTTTATAGCGGTCCCATATTGTCTTCCCTTTCTTAAAGCCTACGACATCTGTTACATCCGGGTTTTCTCGCACCAGCTCCGTGCCGGTCTTCCGCACAAGTCTAGAGTCCGAGGTAAAGACGAGTTTTGTATTTAAGATTATATGTTTGTAAATAATGTTTCTTGTATAAATTTAGTATTTGACATATCATTTATAAAGAAATTGACAGTTTAAAGTTTCAAGAGCAACACAATCGCTTAACTCAATAATGACCTGCCTTATGCACAGCTAAATACATCCATGTTAATTACATGAGCTTAGTAATGCATGAAAAGAACTTGATGGAGTAGTTCCAAAGCAAGTATTGTACTAATTAGGTTTGTTTACTTTGAGGTCATTTTCTCTGCTTTTATCTCCAGCTTTCTCATAGCCTTTTTTGTTTCCCGCAGTTCGCTGGCCTTCTTCTCCAACCCACTCTTTTCTTTCTGTAGCTGTACGATATCGTCCCTGTTCCTGTTCGCAATGATATATACATAAAACGTCAATCAGAAACAAAGCAAGACATGAATATTCCATGGTGCATCAGTATGTTTCCAAAATAAGTACAAATCACAGAACTCCAAATGGAACTGTTTAAATGTCATAATGTGCAATATTTCAATTTTACCTGAGTAGTGTGGTCTGAATGTCCTCAAGTTTCTGCCTGTACTTTGTGACGATGTTGGACGCCGTGTCTTTTTCTGTATCTGGTTCCTGTTCACCAAGCTGTGCTAGAAGGCGCTCGTTGTCTCGAAGGATGTCGGAACAGAAGTGGGTGTACATCGTGTCCACCGTCTCTAGCAGTTTCTGGCCGACAGTTGCTAACATCAGCAGGTTCTCTAGCTCCCTGGGCGGTTGAAAACATATGAAAGTGTGGAGCTTGAACAGCAATATTTATATTTCCAAATGAACAGCTCTATCAGTTAATATCCAACATATTTTAAATCAGTATTAATGATATGTCTTAGCACACAAGTCAACGTCTTGAAAACAGGGGAAAATGTTCATGGTATTTGTGATTTTTCCAAATATAGTAGTAAACATCGAAATGAAAATATTTCAGCAATAACGGAATCGGCAAATAATTAATCAACATAGGAATGCGTGAAAACATAAAAGTGTATGTTTTGTGGTATCAAACCACAGTATAACTGTATTTATTGAATGGACGTTTGTATCAGTAACACTGATTTTTCATACGAAATAAGTGAAGACAATTAATAATAAATTTTAATTGATCAAACACAGCCGATACTAAACTAAAAAAAAATAACTAAATACGAAATGTGTTGTTGTTTAATCATTGACAAAAAAAGACGTATTTGACATTGCATCCTTTTTTAAAACAACATTCCATCCATTTTCAATGTGTCTATACAAGGCGTGTGGTTGCTTATTGGCTATTGTATTGTTTAAATTTAATCAATACTTGTAAACGATCCATTATATTGATATAAAAAATTTAAGAAAATTAACTATATGAAATAAATCTGTGCCTAGTTCTCACAAAATCTGTTTCTATCAAAGCGATAAAAGTGTATCGGTGTTCTGCAGTTTACATTTTTCTATCACAGTCTGAATACAAATGGAGGTATACTTACGGAATGGTTTCATTCAGGACACGGTTGTTGGTTTCTATGACCATGAGAGCATCGAACTCCGCTCCGTCCTCCGTCGTTGTCATGGCCCCCGCCATGTCATTCTCGTCATAACCGCCATGGAGTTTCACTTTCACTACGTTCATTTTCAGGCGATCTATACGTCGAGTTACCAACTTCTGATGCTTGATTTGACTGCAGACAAACAATGAACAATGAATGATTAAACCGGTTTGACGTCGCATATATCTTCATTCCTTTAGCTTCTATTTCTTCATACAATGTCACAATCCAACGATGAAAGATAATCGCTGTTGACTTAACTTAGACAATTTTTAATCGGGATTGTTAAAAGTCATTTGGATCACTATATCGTTTGCATTATTTTGACATACCCAACCTTTTGTAAATATCAGTTAAAATCTATTTAGAATTTGAGCTGGATTGCCTAATTTATTGATTTAAGAGTCCTAATAACAGATAATGGCATTAAAGGACATGCCTCCATGCGAGTTATGTGTGTATGTGTGTTGTTTGAGTGCTTCATCATGCCAAAAGCATCAAAACCAAGCATATTATACTGTCAACTTTTTCAAGCGTCACAACAGCAGTAAATATTTCATTATAGACCTGATAAAACCAGCAAGCATATTTAATACAGTTCAGCGTGCAATGGTTATGCTATTGGTAATACAGGCCAAGGGCATAGCTAACTAGGAATGACCAGATCTAATGTAATAAGTGAATGTCAAAATATTGTTCATCGATGCATGATTATGGATAGCTATTGATACTAAATGATACGTATTGATATGAAAATGAAACTTTTGCTGTAATACGGCCGGAAGTAAAAATAACGATAAGGAATAGTCCCAGGATAGATTGTAGAATTGCATTTGCCTGAATCACACATATTACATGTTACAAAACAAATTACAAGTTATACGAAATATTGAAGCACGTATTCAAATATTTAGTGAGACTATACAAAAAGCCAAACAAAGTCTACACTCAGCCATTTCGTGTATAGAGGAATCATTACACAAGTAAGATTTTAATAAAGCGCCATGCTGCTAAATAGCTTGTGTTATTACCGGGAGGTGGAACGACGGTTGCCTACAGTCAATGGAATAAGACATTCCTAAAGTGATTAATAATTAACAAATTTTCATCTTTAGTCAGAAAAACTGAAAAAAGAATTTGAAATGAACCTTTCCTCTATTAATACTTACAAAAACTTAAAGTAAACTATAATACATGTGATAACACTTGATATCGCAATAATATGGTATGTATGACTAAGGTTTGTTTAACTTCCATGAAGGGTAGATCTCAAAAAAATGGCAAAGTGGTTGATCAAAACTGCAATCCTTCAAAACGATTACAAGACAACAACAGTTTGTTTGTAGTGTATTACCATACACATAGACTACTACTTACGTCATTAGAGCGTCCAGATATTCGGCGTTGCGAGGGTTTCTCTTCATTATTGCTTTGCGATCTTCCTCCTCCTGTTTTGAAAAGGTAGGCGGAGGAATAATTCTAGGGACACTCGGTCCGGCTCCAGTATCATCATCACCCTCACGCTGGGTGTAACCTCCTGTCCGCAACTTCTTACGAAGAAACTCATTATCCTCCTGTAAAGAGCTATGGAGAAAAGGGAAATCATCCTCCTGACCAGAATATTTGGTATTCAGATGATCAATTCGCAGCCAGATTTCGTTAACCTGTTAGGCTCTATTTGACTGTATCTGAATTTGATAGATCCTTACGAAGGTTTTCAGTAACAGTACAACTGAAACATTTAATCCATATTTGGCTTGCCTACTAAGCTGATTATATTTGAATCATATATTCTACGGTAGATTTTGAATAATAATCTAAAGGCAAAATGTATACCAAATGGTATTTTCCTGTTATGATTTCAAATTGCATCGATCCTTTTCTTTAGAACGTTGGAACTTCATCAAATATATTTATCTTAAGTTTAATTTTTAGAAAGTTTATCAGTTAGCATAACGAATATATCGGTCAAGAATAGATAGATATACAATATCGCATTCTCCTGTTCCTGTAGTCGTTCCTGTGTTTCTTCAAGTAAACGAACCAGCCCGTCCCCCTCGTCTTCCTCAGGTACCACCACAACTTTCTTTCGTTTCATCCCCTTTCCCCGGGGTGTCTCCTCCATCTGATACTCCGTTCTTTCAGTAAGCGATGGAACAGGACCAAACATTAATACAGAGTCCTTAACTTTTGTATATCTGCTTTGTAGAGTTTTCATCTCGTAGTATTCCCTGAAGTGGCAATATAAAAAGTAGATAAACGTATCATGAAACAGGTGTTAACATTTAATAAACCTTGCTGTAAGTTCTGAAACTAATTGAAATATTTCTAGCTGAAAAGAGAACTCTTAATCAAATATTTGGAATGTCTTGTTTTGACCATATTAAAACTCACGGTAAAATTGTTGTAAAGAACTCCATCCATCGGTGTGTGCTTTCTAGAATGTCTTTAGAATCATGTTTACGCTGTAGATGAACAGAAGGTAGAGGATTGACCTCTTCCATGACCTCCTCCATGACGTCATCCATTTGAACATCATTAGCTGGCTTCATGTATGTATGGACTTTGAGAATGGTGTTGTTCTTGTCTATGAGCTTATCAATCCACCGATCCACCTCTAGTCTAGCGGTGTGGAATTCAACCAGTTCTCCCTGAAGTCTGTATAAATTAAATTCTTAAAAATACTCCAGGAATATATCAGTATATGTACGTTTCTGAAATCGGATAGTAAATCAATATTCATGAACTCATATGGGGAGCTATACTACTTTATATCTTATACGGATATATAAACACCAGTGTAAGTCAATATACATACATAATTCGAAGTAATATGAACATTTACACTTTTGCAATATTTCAAGAAATAGGATGTTAAAATCATATAAAAATCAAAATGATAAAATAATTCCAAATATATATTATTTAAGCAATGTGTTAAAAATAACGTCATAAGGTATATTCATACAAACACAATTCAAGTCACAGGCAACTTCAACAAATCATGCCATACGGAGATTCAACAGACACGAAATGATATTAACGGAGCCAGTGCTCATATTGGATNTATATATATATAAAATAAGGATTAAATTAACGAAAATCGATAACTTGCTTCAGAGGATTTGGGTACTCTGATCTATTTAAACACCAGTGTGATTCAGACCACAATCTATCAATTCTATTCATCGATGCATGTTAGGTGAATATCTCTACGGTTAAATGAAAATTAAACGAATTCGTACGATGCTATATCTTTAAACATCAACAATATATTAGATTAGGTCTATTGGTCACTGCGATATTTCAAAGAGTGATGTAACGTTGGTATAATTAGGGTACAGTAACGTTAGATGAGTGGGTATAATTATGGTACAGTGACGTTAGATGAATGGTTATAATTAGGGTACAGTAACGTTAAATGAGTGGGTTTATTTAGGGTACAGTAACGTTAAATGAGTGGGTATACTTAGGGCACAGTAACGTTAGATGAGTGGGTATGATTAGGGTACAGTAACGTTAGATGAGTGGGTATAATTAGTGTACAGTAACGTTAAATGAGTGGGTATAATTAGGGTACAGTAACGTTAGATGAGTGGGTATAATTAGGGTATAGTAACGTTAGATGAGTGGGTATAATTAGGGTACAGTAACGTTAGATGAGTGGGTATAATTAGGGTAGAGTAACGTTAGATGAGTGGGTATAATTTGGGTACAGTAACGTTAGATGAGTGGGTATAATTAGGGTACAGTAACGTTAGATGAGTGGGTATAATTAGGATACCGTGACGTTAGATGAGTGGGTATAATTAGGGTACAGTGACGTTAAATGAGTGGGTATAATTAGGGTACAGTAACGTTAAATGAGTGGGTATAATTAGGGTACAGTGACGTTAGATGAGTGGGTATAATTAGGGTACAGTAACGTTAGATGAGTGGGTATAATTAGTGTACAGTAACGTTAGATGAGTGGGTATAATTAGGGTACAGTGATGTTAAATGAGTGGGTATAATTAGGGTACAGTAACGTTAGATGAGTGGGTATAATTAGGATACCGTGACGTTAGATGAGTGGGGATAATTAGGGTACAGTAACGATAGATGAGTGGGTATAATTAGGGTACAGTGACGTCAGATGAGTGGGTATAATTAGGGGACAGTAACGTTAAATGAGTGGGTATAATTAGGGTACAGTGACGTTAGATGAGTGGGTATAATTAGGGTACTGTAACGTTAAATGGGTGGGTGTAATTAGGGTACAGTAACGTTAGATGAGTGGGTATAATTAGGGTACAGTAACGTTAGATGAGTGGGTATATTTAGGGTACAGTAACGTTAGATGAGTGGGTACAATTAGGGTACAGTAACGTTAAATGAGTGGGTATAATTAGGGTACAGGAACGTTAGATGGGTTGGTGTAATTAGGGTACAGTAACGTTAGATGAGTGGGTATAATTAGGGTATAGTAACGTTAGATGAGTGGGTATAATTAGGGTCCAGTAACGTTAGATGAGTGGGTATAATTAGGATACAGTGACGTTAAATGAGTGGGTATAATTAGGGTTCAGTAACGTTAGATGAGTGGGTATAATTAGGATACAGTGACGTTAAATGAGTGGGTACAATTAGGGTACAGTAACGTTAGATGAGTGGGTACAATTAGGGTAGAGTAACGTTAAATGAGTGGGTATAATTAGGGTACAATAACGTTAGATGAGTGGGTATAATTAGGGTATAGTAACGTTAGATGAGTGGGTATAATTAGGGTCCAGTAACGTTAGATGAGTGGGTATAATTAGGGTCCAGTAACGTTAGATGAGTGGGTATAATTAGGATACAGTGACGTTAAATGAGTGGGTATAATTAGGGTTCAGTAACGTTAGATGAGTGGGTATAATTAGGGTATAGTAACGTTAGATGAGTGGGTATAATTAGGGTCCAGTAACGTTAGATGAGTGGGTATAATTAGGGTGCAGTAACGTTAGATGAGTGGGTATAATTAGGGTCCAGTAACGTTAGATGAGTGGGTATAATTAGGGTCCAGTAACGTTAGATGAGTGGGTATAATTAGGTTACAGTAACGTTAGATGAGTGGGTATAATTAGGATACAGTGACGTTAAATGAGTGGGTATAATTAGGGTACAATAACGTTAGATGAGTGGGTATAATTAGGGTATAGTAACGTTAGATGAGTGGGTATAATTAGGGTCCAGTAACGTTAGATGAGTGGGTATAATTAGGGTATAGTAACGTTAGATGAGTGGGTATAATTAGGGTCCAGTAACGTTAGATGAGTGGGTATAATTAGGATACAGTGACGTTAAATGAGTGGGTATAATTAGGGTTCAGGAGCGTTAGATGTGTGGGTGTAATTAGGGTGCAGTAACGTTAGATGAGTGGGTATAATTAGGTTACAGTAACGTTAGATGAGTGGGTATAATTAGGATACAGTGTTGTTAAATGAGTGGGTATAATTAGGGTACAGTGACGTTAAATGAGTGGGTATAATTAGGGTTCAGTAACGTTAGATGAGTGGGTATAATTAGGATACAGTGACTTTAAATGAGTGGGTATAATTAGGGTACAGTAACGTTAGATGAGTGGGTACAATTAGGGTACAGTAACGTTAAATGAGTGGGTATAATGAGGGTACAGTAACGTTAGATGGGTGGGTATAATTAGGGTACAGTAACGTTAGATGAGTGGGTATAATTAGGGTACAGTGACGTTAGATGAGTGGGTATAAATAGGGTTCAGTAACGTTAGATGAGTGGGTATTATTAGGGTACAGTAACGTTAGATATAATTAGGGTACAGTAACGATAGATGAGTGGGTATAATTAGGGAACAGTGACGTTAAATGAGTGGGTATAATGAGGGGACAGTAACGTTAGATGAGTGGGCATAATTAGGGTACAGTAACGTTAAATAAGTGGGTATAATTAGGGTACAGTGACGTCAGATGAGTGGGTATAATTAGGTTACAGTGACGTTAGATGAGTGGGTATAATTAGAGTACAGTAACGTTAAATGAGTGGGTGTAATTAGGGTACAGTAACGTTAAATGAGTGGGTATAATTAGGGTACAGTAACGCTAGATGAGTGGATATGATTAGGGTACAGTAACGTTAGATGAGTGGGTATAATTAGGGTACAGTAACGTTAGATGAGTGGGTATAATTAGGTTACAGTAACGTTAAATGAGTGGGTGTATTTAGGGCACAGTGACGTTAGATGAGTGAGTATAATTAGGGTACAGTAACGTTAAATGAGTTGGTATAATTAGGGTACAGTAACGTTAAATTAGCGGGTATAATCAGGGTACAGTAACGTTAGATGAGTGGGTGTAATTAGGGTACAGTAATGTTAGATGAGTGGGTATAATTAGGTTACAGTAACGTTAAATGAGTGGGTGTATTTAGGGCACAGTGACGTTAGATGAGTGAGTATAATTAGGGTACAGTAACGCTAGATGAGTGGGTATAATTAGGGTACATTAACGTTAGATGAGTGGGTACAATAAGGGTACAGTAACGTTAAATGAGTGGGTATAATTAGAGTACAGTAACGTTAAATGAGTGGGTATAATTAGGGTACAGTGACGTTAGATCAGTGGGTATAATTAGGGTGCAGTAACGTTAAATGAGTGGGTGTAATTAGGGTACAGTTACGTTAGATGAGTGGGTATAATTAGGGTACAGTACCGTTAGATGAGTGGGAATAATTAGGGTACAGTAACGTTAGATGAGTGTGTATAATTAGGGTACAGTAACGTTAGATGAGTGGGTGTAATTAGGGTACAGTAATGTTAGATGAGTGGGTATAATTAGGTTACAGTAACGTTAAATGAGTGGGTGTATTTAGGGCACAGTGACGTTAGATGAGTGAGTATAATTAGGGTACAGTAACGTTAAATGAGGGGGTATAATTAGGGTACAGTAACGTTAAATGAGGGGGTATAATTAGGGTACAGTAACGTTAAATGAGTGGGTGTATTTAGGGCACAGTGACGTTAGATGAGTGAGTATAATTAGGGTACAGTAACGCTAGATGAGTGGGTATAATTAGGGTACATTAACGTTAGATGAGTGGGTACAATAAGGGTACAGTAACGTTACATGAGTGGGTATAATTAGAGTACAGTAACGTTAAATGAGTGGGTATAATTAGGGTACAGTGACGTTAGATGAGTTGGTATAATTAGGGTACAGTAACGTTAAATTAGCGGGTATAATCAGGGTACAGTAACGTTAGATGAGTGGGTGTAATTAGGGTACAGTAAAGTTAGGTTAGATGAGTGGGTATAATTAGGGTACAGTGACGTTAGGTACAGTAACGTTAGATGAGTGGGTATAATTATGGTACAGTAACGTTAAATGAGTGGGTATAATTAGGGTACAGTGACGTTAGATGAGTTGGTATAATTAGGGTACAGTAACGTTAAATTAGCGGGTATAATCAGGGTACAGTAACGTTAGATGAGTGGGTGTAATTAGGGTACAGTAATGTTAGATGAGTGGGTATAATTAGGTTACAGTAACGTTAAATGAGTGGGTGTATTTAGGGCACAGTGACGTTAGATGAGTGAGTATAATTAGGGTACAGTAACGCTAGATGAGTGGGTATAATTAGGGTACAGTAACGCTAGATGAGTGGGTATAATTAGGGTACATTAACGTTAGATGAGTGGGTACAATAAGGGTACAGTAACGTTAAATGAGTGGGTATAATTAGGGTACAGTGACGTTAGATGAGTGGGTATAATTAGGGTACAGTAACGTTAAATTAGTGGGTATAATCAGGGTACAGTAACGTTAGATGAGTGGGTGTAATTAGGGTACAGTAACGTTAGATGAGTGGGTGTAATTGGGGTACAGTAACGTTAGATGAGTGGGTGTAATTGGGGTACAGTAACGTTAGATGAGTGGGTGTAATTAGGGGACAGTAACGTTAGATGAGTGGGTATAATTAGGATACGTGACGTTAGATGAGTGGGTATAATAAGGGTACAGTGACGTTAGATGAGTGGGGATAATTAGGGTACAGTGACGTTAAATGAGTGGTTATAATTAGGGTTCAGTGACGTTAGATGAGTGGGTATAATTAGGGTACAGTGACGTTAAATGAGTGGATATAATTAGGGTACAGTAACGTTAGATGATAAATGCGTTATTGCGACAAGAAAACATCAGTTTATATTGTTGCTCTGTTATTTTTATAGGATAATCTTCTACTAATTCGATACATTTGTGCAAATAATCAAATACTATTTTCATTGATATTAGCTTTTGTATCACTCTTACCTTGTGAATTATTGTTATGATAAGCCTTACTGTGAATCAATATCACTCTTACCTGGTGAATTATTGTTATGATATGTCTTAGTTTGAATCAATATCACTCTTACCTGGTGAATTATTTTTATGATATGTTCTAGTGTGAATCAAAATCACTCTTACCTGGTGAATTATTGTTATGATATGTCTTAGTTTGAATCAATATCACTCTTACCTGGTGAATTATTGTTATGATAAGCCTTAGTGTGAATCAATATCACTCTTACCTGGTGAATTATTGTTATGATAAGTCTTAATGTGAATCAATATCACTCTTACCTGGTGAATTATTGTTATGATAAGCTTTAGTTTGAATCAATATCACTCCTACCTGGTGAATTATTTTTATGATATGTCTTAGTGTGAATCAATATCACTCCTACCTGGTGAATTATTGTTATGATATGTCTTAGTGTGAATCAATATCACACATAGTGGGGCATTAGTTTGCGTTTGGTCCTCTTTATACTTTTATACAAATTTGAGACTATGACCAAAACGCCACATAAAAAATCATAAAATAAGAAGTTTGATGTTGTAATATTTACATTTCTACTGCACTAAGACTCAATATACCTACTAAACATTTAAAGGTTATATTTAACGATATGATCATTGTGACAAATCGTCTGTTGATGATATGAGTACTTGGATCACCATGCATGGATATACATACAGATACAAATGCACACTACCTATATATTAGACACACCACTGTTACAAGCTTGTTATATCTATATAAATATTTCAAACCAAGTGAGACAGAGCATACAGTCCTTACTTATTGACAGACACTTCTTTTATCTGTGTGGTGTTGGATTGTCTTGTAAAGAAAAAGGATCATTCGAAATGGATTAAACAAACAAGGACTTCGGAAACAAAAAAGATCAAAACATGTTGACAATAATTTAAGCACACCTAGTAAAACAAACACTACTGACTACCATAACCGCATTAAAGAACTTAGAGAAAAAGACTATCGTTATCAAAGTGTGTTTACTATTGAAGATTTAAAAAGATACAAAAAATCCTTCGAAATAAAAACAAAACTAACATGTTACCATCTAATAGCACTATACCACAACCAAACACTCAATATTTATACCAATAACGGAGAAAAGCGTATACTACGACTAAGCAACCTTTCCTGTTTTAAGATGTTTTATATATTTCTCTATGTGTGTAAAAATAGTTCAGCTTGCTTTCTGCATTATTTATAATATTCGATACATAATACATAATATACGTAGTGCTATAGCATGGAGAAGGTACCTGTCCAGTTGCTTTTTGAGGGCTTTTACCTCCGCCTGCGCCTGCGTCAACTGTTGTTCCACCCTGAAATGTAGTCAGATGGCTGTTAATAATACGCGCCACTTTATAAATAAATATATTCAAATGGAAGTTCGCATAAGTTTCATTATCGTCTTAAAAACTAACAGTACTCCAAATGTTTACATAATGATTGAAGGTACCTCCCGAGACAACATTTATATGTTTCGCTTTGTACCGTTAAATATGACTACATTCTGGAAATCTTGTTGATTTACTGCAAAGAAGCTTTCATGGAAAAAAATACGTTTGTTGATTGATGAATTTTAATCGAAATTATTTCCTTTTCTTGAAAATAGTTATCGTCTCTAATATTTCAAATTCAGCAGTCTGCTTAGCAGAAGCAGAACATCCTGTTCTAATTAAAACTAAAGTAGCAACTGGGTAACAAAATGTAATACAAGTGATTTCAAACTTACACCACACTGTAATCTTGAATGTCGTCGTTATTGGCTCGTTTATTCAACATATTTTTCGGGATAGTAGGCTTTTTGATATTCGAGTTTTTCTTAGTACCAGCCTGGATATATAATCAGAAAGCAAATTGTTATAAATAATATTAAATTCTATATGATTTTTTTTATAATATTTTCTTCCTGAGATAAGAATTTGATATGTTGAAAGATGTTCTTGGTGTAAGAGGTACAACATACTGTAAATGTGAGAATTGTCGAGGTATGGAAATGTTGGAGTTTATCACGTGGAGTAGATTAGCGAGAAGATATCACCACACGAATATTCGATTGTAGATTATAGTTAAATAGACGTAAACATTTCAGAACTATTGTGAAAGCGAAACTTTCCTCATCGCGATCAGTTTAAAGGACCACAACGCGATAATTTCCACAAGCAGAAACGTTCGCCTTATAATACATATATGTGCTTCAAAGATACCGATATACAACTTTGCACGGACGGTCTTAAGTAGTTGTCAGATTAAAAACTATGAAATATTTAAATAAGTACCATTGTCAAAAATACATCAATTGTGTAATTAATGAAAACAAAGACGTAGCCAGTGTACTCACTCCTTAAAACCGCCAAGTGATTTTTTTAATTAAACGTCCAAGCCTACAAATATCTTCCATACATACATATATATATTACTACTGATTTACATAATAGTTACCGGCATACAAAACGCTTGCTCATGAAAACCGCTTTTTTTCGTTCTCCTTTAGACAAAGCAATAAAAAAAAAGGTGATAAAAAGATCAAGTCTCAAGAACTGGTTTCTTTTAAAGCAGATGCTAAGAAATACTTACAAAAACGCACGTATAGACAAGGGATGGTTACTTTGACTGATCAAAGCCACGTACTTGTATTAGGTCATTTTTCAGTCGTTGGTAGCGATGATAGGAGGTTGATGATACAAACTTCTTTTTCCATCCCTTAGCCTGGATCTGTTTCTCAAATGCCTGAAAGGCCTTTTTCAAACCTTCCACGACCGGCCAACCATGTTCCATCTGTAAACGAGAAATTAAAACCAGCATGTTATTATAAGCTGAAATATCGGAATGGAATATGTTCCAACATTCTTTCGAATCCAATATAATATCGAACTACTTTTTCAACAGGATGCCAGATTAGACAATTTTCATTATACCATAGCGACGTAAAGAGACAGTTGACTCCCAACAAAACACCAGTGACAAAGCCAAAAGGTGCAGCAATTCCTGCAAAACATGCGATTCACCGATCATTTCTCCGTTCATGGAATTCCAATACAAACATCTTTCATTATCTATTTGATCCGTCAGACGAGGTTGGGGTCACCTTAGTTTTTTTGTATATTCACGCGTGGATAAAGATTTATCACCGCTATTAACGGCATTACATTACGTAGGCACAACGTTTCAGTTCATACAGCAAACACACATATAAACATACTATATGGGGATGGATGAACTATATTTTACTGCCTCATTGACACATCATTATAGGCTGATTATTATCAGCTGACGTGACGCTTATTACAACTGTTCAATAATTGTTATGCATTGATGACCTCATGGAGGCAATCACTCCTTCTCTACCTTTTCTTTTGACACAAACATTTATTGTAAATTTAATCATTTTATACAAATATACATATATATTCCTTGAATTGTCTTGTACGATCAGATATTAGCGTAATAATAACGGTAAATGATATTCCCAAGGACATGATGCTGACTTTTGAAAAGACGAACATCTCTTAAGAAAAAATACAAAAAGGTGTCGTCATGCTGATATCACAAAAAAATCTAGAATATCATTCATGCTACATAGACATATATAACAAATAAGGTTTTACACTCCAACGATTTGTGTGAAATGAGTACCGATTACTAAAAACTATTAAAAAAAAGAAAAATTACTAAAGCGAGCATGTTTAAACGTACTACATATATCACAATGCAACTGTACTTATACACAAGGAACATTATGAAGAGACATCAAAGCACATAAACATGGCAAATCTCTTTATCATATTTAGGTTCACAGCTCATTATTTCCAGCCCCTGGCCCTTACACTATTTATCATATGATTATTGGGTACAATACACAGGGCAGTATGTACTACAGTTGTGTTCGATATGTTGCCAAAACTGTCAATCAATGTGCCGAAAAAGTCATCGAGGTTTAATATATGACGTCAAAAGTATCATACTATTCTATTGAGATCTTTTAGCCGTTACTTGATTAATTATTATGAAAACCAATGATCTAAAACGTTATAGAACCTCTTGGTAATTTCGTTCTTGAAACAATACTTCCCATGTATCAAGACGAGTACATGCATTTTGGTATATTTCATTCATGACTAATAATTGAGGTCAAAATATGGTTAAAGCCATGGTTCCTACCACAGTTTGAATAGCATTGTTAAATCAAATGGGATATTTTGTTTCCTGATAATGGCGTAGAAAGAAATCACAAACCTCCTCCACTCGGTCACATATTTGGTAGTAGAGAATTTCGAGTTCAGTCCAGAAGCCAAGTTGTTTTATTATCACCTGTAGCTCTGCTACCTCCTTCTTCTTCTTTTCACCTCCCCTCACTCGTGATTTTGGTCTGAAAGGATAATAAAACTCATATTTATTAGAATAATATTCGAAAATCAGACATTTATTTGACAAGCATTCTTATTGAACTGAAATGTTTCATATTGTTCCTGCGGTACTAATTTTACATCGTGATATTATAAAGTATAAATTATCGAGGGCGGTAATTATCCTGGTTGCATCGTATCAGCGAAAACCGCAAAAGTTCCCCATTGTACACCACTTGCTTAATGTAATCTTGTAATACGTATAACCCCGCAGACTAAGGTAAACACACTGACCATTAATTAATGACCATTGATATGTTAAGACTATATTTGTTTATTTAAAACAGACCATACTACACAGTGTCAACACACAGGGACAACATTTTCAAATCAACACATATCAACGTTTATGCAAAAAGGGTCTGATTATACTTACTTTGTGTTACCGGAACCCATTGCTAACGTGTTATGTTCAGTGAAGACGTCTTTTCGTTTTATTTATCCATATATCTCTCCAGTCAGCCTACAGAACCATTGTAGATAGCATTGGTCATCAATGTCCATATACAGATCATTTCATGTAAATAAATTAATAAATGAACCAATACAGGAGGGAATGGGACTCCTCTACACTGGACTGTAGTATAAAACCTTTGCAAAAATTAAATTCACTGGTATTTACTTTGGCTCTGTAATTAAAATAAAAACCAATCGTCTTATTTATACAATAAATGCCGTAAGGTTTAATTTCTGAGTGAATGAAAGGTACTACTTACATCGTGGACACCCTTTCGAAGCCATGTTTATAAATATATAATATGTATACGAGTCTTATAGACAATACGGTTAACCAGTAGGTTATCAGTGTACATCTTAAGTAGACACACCACGTGGGTTTGTCTGCACCGCTTTGCTATTGTTATTTAACAATCGTGGTCAGCGATCCGAATTAATGTACTGATGACGAGTGGATAACACAGGGACAATGTCAGGACACTGTACCCTTCCTATAGTCGTCAATCGTACAAACTACTGCGTATTGATATAAAATATACCAATATTGTTTAGTAATTGTTTCAAACAGAATATATTGTAAACAATGTACTCTTACCAGATAACATATTTAATTATATTTTATACTCACAAATCAAATATTCTGCTAAAAAGTATTAACATGTAAACAATTATATGTTGCAACTATCTGTAACAAATTCGAAATGACCAGCTAGTTATTTACACGGGAAGTTATCATCACTTTCTATCTGTTTTATGTGTAATGACAATACAATGGTATCTGTACACTAGTTACTTGTGGTAATTAATATGCATAGCTTTGTTACATGTCACGGGAAGTTATCATCACTTTCTATCTGTTTTATATGTAATGACAATACAATGGTATCTGTACACTAGTTACTTGTGGTAATTGATAAACATAGCTTTGTTACATGTAACGGGAAGTTATCATCACTTTCTATCTGTTTTATGTGTTATGACAATACAATGGTATCTGTACACTAGTTACTCTTGGTAATTGATAAACATAGCTTTGTTACATGTCACGGGAAGTTATCATCACTTTCTATCTGTTTTATGTGTAATGACAATACATTGGTATCTGTACACTAGTTACTTGTGGTAATTTATAAACATAGCTTTGTTACATGTCACGGGAAGTTATCATCACTTTCTATCTGTTTTATGTGTAATGACAATACAATGGTATCTGTACACTAGTTGGTTGACTTTCGGTCGGACCTTTTTATTTCATATCATAATATGCGTACATGTAATAGCGATTCTCAGTGATCAAAATAACACGAACTAATTTGCTAAATGTCATTAGTTGAACGATAGACATTCTACATTTCCGACTTCGAATTAATAAAATTTTGCATTGGACTATTTTTGAATTTATATTTTTTTATATATTTTTCTATGTTTTTTTATATATATATATATAATGTTATATGAAGTTCAAATCTTCGATTTGTTAGCTAAACTAATTGTAATGTCACCGTAGAGGTTTACAATGCTATGTGTAATGTCACCGTAGAGGTTTACAATGCTATGTGTAATGTCACCGTAGAGGTTTACAATGCTATGTGTAATGTCACCGTAGAGGTTTACAATGCTATGTGTAATGTCACCGTAGAGGTTTACAATGCTATGTGTAATGTCACCGTAGAGGTTTACAATGCTATGTGTAATGTCACCGTAGAGGTTTACAATGCTATGTGTAATGTCACCGTAGAGGTTTACAATGCTATGTGTAATGTCACCGTAGAGGTTTACAATGCTATGTGTAATGTCACCGTAGAGGTTTACAATGCTATGTGTAATGTCACCGTAGAGGTTTACAATGCTATGTGTAATGTCACCGTAGAGGTTTACAATGCTATGTGTAATGTCACCGTAGAGGTTTACAATGCTATGTGCAAACACTGTTAGCATTTTCTTATGCAGCGAAATCTTGTTTATGCAGTAAAAATGGCCCTCTATATTTTACCTGTAAACCTGCACGTTTCTCGGATTAGCAAGGCAAGCATTGAATATATTATATCTACTTTGTGTTTTACACTGATGAGTTCGGGGCAGCATAGCACTACATAGGATGTGTGTGTGGTCCCTCACTAACAGTTATCGTACCGGTTCAATGTGGCTGTCTACAATATCAGGTGACATATGGTTAATTCAAACTAAGTCAAGCGTGGTTAAGATTCACTACAACAAGAGTATAATATACCTTCAGATTATTGATCGGCTTGTTAAAACAATTCATGCGAGAGAATACACTGAATTGCATGGAATACACATGTGAATATATCAACAAACATTGATTATTAAAAAGAAACAATTTCATCAGACGGGTTTATATCAGGTTATGTAACGATCACTCAAGCGGAAAATCATACTTTTACTTAATATCGAATTGTGTGTTATTAAAAAAACACACATCAGAAATATAATCAGTCGTGCTAGACTTTTGAAGTACTTTATTTTAAGACGAAGAATAATGGTCATAAAGGAGTAAGAAAGAAAATGTTCTTATTTAAGATAACGTGAATTATAAATTTGAATTGTATGTAAGGAAAATACAAATTCTATGCATTGATAGAGTTATATTCCTAGCAATTGTAAGAGTATTTTAACCAAAATTCAACAAGTTGAAGTTTTGAAACAGGTGTTAAAATTTGTGAACAAAGCTTTCAAATGTGACATTGAGGTTCCTTGTTGATACATTATATATATACAGGCTAGAGAAGTAGTAGGAGTAGTAGTAGTAGTAGTAGTAGTAGTAACTCCATAAAATTTGCTAGGATGCTAATAATTTGCATGGAGTCCCGAGGTGTCAAACCTTCATGCAGGAAGTTAAAAAGAGAAAAATGAAATATTTAAATTGTAGTACATTTTTTAAATTGTACTATTAATGATGAAAGTTCCAATCGCAATATTTGATGAAAGTGTTAAAATTTATAATAGATATTTACGATCAATATTTTATCAGAATAGTGGTATTTGATATGCATATTGTAGGTTCATGAATGATCAATCATTGTGTGAAGGTAAAAACTATGAAAATAAAATTTTTGAAATGTTTTGGACGAGCTTTTACAGTTCTTGGTACTTGAGAAGGTTTGCTTGAAGGCTTGCTATAAACGAAACTGTCAGACAAGCACAGGATTCGCCGTATCTATGTTTGTACTTGACGATGGAACATATTATAGAAAATTATGTTATGATTTTTTATATTGATTAAGAGACAAAAAAGTCATCTGCAATGCTTTAAATAAATAAGTGCATATGCCGTCTTATATATTCTTATTGCCACAGGGGGGTTGCATTTAAAAGTAAAAAAACTTAGTATTCTTCACGATTTTAAAACAATATCCTCAGTAAAGATATTGCAAAAACAAAGCAATGTGTGATAGAAGTTAAATTTACTGTAATATTTTGAAAGAGTCAAGCAACTTTGAAATAACAAGAAGGAAAAAGGCATAACAATAAGTGTGTTTTTTTCTTCAAATAAACGATATACAAAAAATTACGTATATGATACTAAGAAATCCCTAAGTGCCGTTGTAAGACCAATGTAATCCTACTTCACATGACTAGGTTACGCGTAGACAGGTGTACACAGGTGTGAACGCACGTGATTCACTAAGGATGGCCACCGAGATATAAGGGTTCTCATAAAAATAGTACGGAGGTTTCACATCACCAGAAACCAGTCGCTAAGAGCAGACATGAACGTGTTTCTGTTGGTGTCCCTATGTTCTCTCTCGTTTGGACTTACGTCGGCGATTGGTAAGTTTCAAATTATTGATTATAATACATATATTATAAACTATAATGTTTCATTGGATGTATTTAATGATATTCTTTTAGTCATTTTTTTTTTATAAATTTTGGGGATTTTTTTTCTGTAAACACTTACACACATTTCGTCATTCATTGTATTCACTCCTTTAATTCGCAAATGACTGTTCTTAGCGTTATTAACATGTTTAAAACTGTACTTTATATTTGCATAAAAGATACTATTCAATGAAGCTATCTGACGGTTTTTTAATGTGGCAAACACAACGAGCATATCCATTTAGCAAAACAAATGTACTTTTGAAAGACGATCACGATAACATAGGCAACGCCTATCTGCATGCATGGTATGTTAACTAATAATAAAAAATTAATTCCATTGATTCCAATATTTTTTTATTGTTTTAATGAACAAGCGTATCATCCTACCAAAGGCCTCGTTGTGATGATAAGTATTGCTGTTGCTCGTTTTAGAGAGAAAATAATATAACCTACTATCAGAATGACACTACTGACGGAATAGTATAATTATAATTCCATTACATGAGCAAAAATGACCTTGCTAGCCCAAACAGCTATATTTTTTCTCTCAAATTGGTAAAATAGATGATATCGTGATGGTTTACATTACTTTTTAAGACACCAACAGGGTTTGTAAAGAGGTTGCTTGTAGCAGCTGGTCTTACAAGCACGCCACCTGCCGTATAGACAATGCACCAGGGGACATAATCACGATGGCACTGGCTAGAAGAGAATCGAGGGCGGCCTGTGTATACCGCCAGTCCTTCGGCTTCTTCCCGACTGGACGGTTGGTTTGGGTTAAAGACGGATGCAGGGCACGTTTTCAAGTGTGTTTCACTCTACGATCTGGAGGTAGGCCAACCAAAATACCTCATTGACAAGAAATAATAATTTCACGATATTTAGGATCCATCGTTTTACTTAAATACTTTAACGTGTCATGAATAGAGATACATTATTAATCATATATGAAGAGGTGGTATCTGCTCCAATGAAATCTTCAAATGATATGTCTGTAGTTAGGAATGTTGTACACATTCTTTATTTTAAGATTGCGTTATCAAAAAAAATGCATATTTCATAATGAAAGGAACCTTTGCATTATTTGTCTTCAGCCTGCGGATACGGCTGTGGTAAAAACGCGGAATGTGTGGCGGGGAAGTGTATGTGTAGGAAAGGTTACATCGGGAACCCCAACAGAGCTTGTGAAGGTGAGTAACTCTTAAACAGTTTACCTTACTGACCTAGACTTCTATAATTTGGAAAAGTATCTTTCAAGTTGCTTGATTAATACGGATTGTTAAAATTCCCAACATTAGTTTTTTTGTTCATTATTGGCATGCTGGATCTATTATCAAAGATTAAAGGTGTAGTCCCGTGTGTGTCTAATGTTCATCCTTCAAGATACGGGGTGAAACATTCTTCTGGTGGATGTCTTAGTCCTTGAGGCTTGCAGT